CTAAACCTTGATGTTCGAAATTAAAATATTATGTGCTCCCCAAAAATATCGATCGCCTCAAAAACATCCACGTTTATAAAACCTTAACCATAACGTTTACTTAACATTAAGATTCAATATTATATGATTCAATAATTCAAAATAGCATATGCTGCATATATCGACGAAACACCATGTCAATTATTTTTCACCCTTGCTCACTTTTCACAGAAGAATTTCTAATTTATGATCTCTAAAGTATTTCACGTTTTTATTATAATACTTTTTTGTCAATGAAAAATGAAATATCAACCACGTAAAAACATCGAACACAAAACATAATGTTAAAGAATATAGACTTCAAAACATCGATGCTAAATACATCGATTCTTTTATAACAACATCCATGTTTTGAAAGCCTCGAAATCGATGTCGTATCCCATTTCCGACCACTTCCTCAGACGGCAGGGATTTTGTCGTGCCTGTGGGAGAAATTTTAGAATTCCCTTTGAAAGACGGTATTCCTGTATCCTCTAACGTATTGGGTCCCGGAATTTTGGTTTACATTTTTTTCTAGGCCATAAACACTAAGTTCTTGGCGGATTTTTTTATCCCATGTCGTGTCCGTAAGCTTATAACCAGCAACCGATCTTGCAACAAAAATCTCATTTCAGCACCGAGTTGATGGATAATATTTTTGTTCGTAGCCATATTCGTATACATATTGGGATATATATAATACATTGTAGAATATAATTATAGTTACTTTTCTTCATATTTGAAAACGTATGATAGTTCTGTGCCGTATAACCAAATTGACAAAAGAAATTCTGTAAAATTTATTATTCAGCCGACCTGGATTGCAGAGATCATTATGGGAGAAGCGTGTTATCTTCAACTCGAATGGTTTCAAGTTCAAATCCCCTCCACAGCCGTGGATGTTCGTGCGTTTGTCTGTGACTGAATGGGCAAAAGTTATACTTATCCCTCAATGCTCAAGAACAGTAGCAATTCACGGATTGGTTATTGCGTGTTAAAATTGAATACTGACAAGAGCAACAGAGGTAAAAAATGTCAAAATGTTTGATTTCTAACAAATGTATAACAATGTGCTTTTCGTATTTCCCTGGAGACCGCCAGACTGTGTCCGGTTTGTTTACTATTCCCGAGAATCCCTAAGTGTATATTAATAGTTTCTCTTCCTTTTTTGTTCCTATTTTACAGTAGCATTTCAAGACTAATTCTCAAAGGTGTTAAGAGCTTACACTACTACTTGCTATACAGTAAGAATACTGTGTGTAACATTCTTCTTTGTACACTCACTATTTGTAAATAAAAATTAAATATTACTCTTTGTTATATTTCTTGCCTCCATTTTTATTTTCTGTCTTTATATAACTATGAGGAAACAAAATCGATCAACAAACACTTAATTTGCTTTCAAATAAAAATACAAATAGATAATTTAACAAGAATCTGGCTATTAACATGCAACTGTCGTATTTGTAGACTATCGAAAAATAAAAGAATATATTCAACATTCAAGAAGAAAAAACATTTAATACCCTGACTCGTAGCCATTAGCTTTGAGAAATGTTGTGCATTGAATGCACCTCATATCATGAGTTTTTCCCCATTCTTCTGCCACAACACGTTTTAATTGGTCCAGTGACTGAGTTTTTCTTGAATACACTCTTTTCTTCAAATCAAATCACACATGTTCGATCGGGTTCAGATTAGAAGATTGATTGGGAGTCTGTAATTGCTGAGCAAGTTCCATATAATCCACTGTTTGCAGATATCAGTAGCGTGCTTGAGTAATTATCTGGTTGAAAAATGCATCTTGGCCTTAACTGCATATTTTCTGCACGCTGCTTAACTTTTTTTATCAGACATCAAAATATCCCCAATTGTTCATAACGCCGTCGATGATCTGCGTAGTTCCAACCACATTGGACGACAAGCACCCCCAAAACATTATAGAACCTTACCCATGTTTCACAGTAGGTAGAGTGCTACAAGTTTCGCCGGTCGTATTTACCTTTCTCCATACCGTTCGGCATCCATAAGGACCATGAAGAGTTATTTTCATTTCATCCAACCAAATAACACCGTTCCTGAACATCGTATCTTTATTTTCGTGTTCTCTGCAGAATTTAAATTGTGGTAAGTCGATTTTTTCTACTTATGAATGGCCTCTTTCGTGCTCTTTTGCCATGATGGCCGTACTTCCATAGTACACTGCGATATCTGAATTAACAGTTTACATGATTTGTTTCATCATTTTGCGGATGTTTCGAGCACTGTTGAGGTTTTCCTCAGGTGTAGAATTATGAAACATTCGTCCCTGTCATTAAGCTTATTTTTCTTGGCTTTTCTTGGTATGTTCTTTCTTGAACTGTTGTATCTAAACTTTTTTTAACAACGTAGTTGTTTCTAGAATGGAGATTGTTCACTCTTGCGTTCAATTTCTCTTAGAGGATAGCCACGAGTTACGATGATTTCCTTTACGTCACTGCTAAAAGTTCTTTCTTCTTTCCCATCGTGAAATAAACTAGTCCGCAAATGATATATAGCTGATAGCGGCCGCTATGAAGGTCGTCTGAACGTTATGAAAAGTATTACCAGCCTAGGAATTAGGGTCTTTATTCAAGTGTTCAAACATGAATGTTTCACTTGAACTTCACATTATAAGGTGATTTTTGCTGTAAACTCTTGCTTCTTATCAATTATTTAATTCTTACTAATTTGTTTCTAATTTTTCATTATTCACTCTTAGTATTACACTACAAACAAGACTTATGCACAGTATACGATTCAATTATAGTACATTATGCAACTACTTAATAATGTTATTATGCCGTAACTGCATGTTTAAGAGTTACGCCCGCGACGTTAGAAGCGAATTTTCAAATTTGTACCTAATGCAATTAGGCAATATTAAAAACAAGTTGCATACACTTATGTTGAATAGCAGTGTTATGAATTTATTTAAGTACCAACATTAATTTTGGAAAGAAATTTAAAAAGCAGTTGTGCTGATGGCAACCTAGTTAGTGACCGTATTAGGGCATTACGCTGGGAGGACGACTAGAGATACGGACGAAGATGGCAGGCGGGGAGGACAGTGCCCTAAAATGTCATTTTATCAACAAATTCTTGCATAGAAAGAGGTCGTTTACAATGCTGGTATACAAATATTTGGCTGAGTTTTGCCAGATGCATTGTCTTAATCGTAGTATTATGAATCTCATAATAAATTGTTTTAAAAGACTATCTTATAAAATAATGCCTGAAGTAATTAAAATAAATAATATTTTCGCCGTGAATAGCAATTAGTGCATTTGACGCTTAACGTGTTAACACTTTTGGGAAATCCCTTCTTCATTTGATATTAAGGAAACCACAAAGAACCGGATGGATAAATTTCCGTGACCTTCCTAAAGAAATGAAAATCAAGATAGTCATATTTTATTTATTTGTTTGTACCCAACCTCCTTCCGTTTCCCAGTCAAGGAAATGACCTCGAGAGGCAGCGAGTTCAAATACGCGAGCGGAGTGGGGGGATCTGGATTCGCGCGCCACCGGCCGGTGCGGTTATAGGCGACTGACCGACTTCTCCCCGACACAAGCAGACAACAGCTGGCGGAAGGCAGAGGTGGCGGTCTGCACCATGACAGGCCCGAATTTATCACTTCCGCCTCCCCTGTGCTTCACCTCCAGCGTACACCAATTTTCTAACACTTACCCGCGCGCGAAAAGAAATCGCTTACTGCTCGCTTTCCATACTCATTTTGCACACGGCGCTACCTCACAGAGTTGAGGTAATTCGAGACATTTCCAGAAAGCTTGGGAGTTGAAAACGCACGTCAAGGAAAAGCCTAATAGAAAAATCTGCACTTCGGACCGGCACGGTTGACTTATCTAAGGTATTTACACAATCGACTGACAACCAGACAATCAACAAGGTTTTATTTCGAAGTAGCACACAAAGAATAATGACAAGTCTTGGCCTATAGTATAAGTTTAGATGAACGTCGAATATTTTTAAAATTAAAATTCCATTATCCGGAGAATTCATCTCTGAAAAGTTGTTATATTCAGAGTACATTTGACGGAAAAAAATGTAATGCTCCCAACTTTTACTCCTCATATTTTACACTAATAGGTAGAGCTTGGGGTCTGTCAATATAGAAAGAAACGAGGTCAACGTCACTGTAACAATGTCACACGAAAACACAAAGTAGAATATTTCTGATAAATATGAATTATAATTTATAATGATCAATACAAAATAATTATATATCTTTATTCAATGATTCATCACTTAAAAATTAATTGAAGATGAAAGATAACCATACAAATTCTCCAGGAACTGTCGTTTTTCGTTTCGATGACATTCCCACTATCGTCAATCTCGAGTAGGTACACTCCAGTCGACAAATACATTTCAATATTCATCATGAATTTGAAGGTGACAGGTACAGGCATGCTCCAATTAGTTCTTGAGTAAAAACACTAACCTTAAGATATCAGCTATCACCGAAGTTGAATCCTGAACTCCCTGAGCTGTGTTTCACAAAGCACTGCACCAACTTGCAGCACCAAGAAAATCCATCACGCATTGGCTGTGCACAAGAGCCACTCTGCTCCACTGTCTGTGACACACAACTAGAGATAAACAACACTTAAGATCTCTCAAACACCATTGTTGCTATCAGATGAACTGCAAATATGGCGAAGAATAGAGCCACTAATTCAAGGTTACTAGAATGATACGATGGTTCGACCACGGTAGCGGACATTTTATGTCCATTTTGAATTATAATCTCCCAAGAACGAAATAAGATTATCTTTATTATAACAAACAAAATACGGTATATTTCAAAGCCTTAAATCGTATTCGTGAAACAAATAACCTCGGTGAAGAATTTAATGATTTGTACTGAACAGGCGTAACCTCGGAAGAGTGCGCCACCAGCTGATTATTAGCACGCATTCTACAGGAATCTGTTCAAACTACTACAATGAGTTTGTTGCCCGCTACAGATCTGGACCTATGGATTGAAGAATACGTATGGCCCAGACGATGAAAATTTGTACTTTGTGGGAACGTTGAAATGTCAATGAATAATCTGGATATTTAAGCTATAAGCGTGCAGGCGAATTTCAATGAAAATAGTTACTTAATTTGTAAACGAATGGCGGTAGTACAGCGCTTGAAAGTGTGCACATTAAAAATTGGAAATGTTTTGGGATGCATCATTCAGTACGGCTGTGTAACTCATTGCTTTATGGAATACATTGCGGATTTTGTTGTGGTGAGAAATTTATTTAGCAAACGTTTTATATTCATATGAATATTTTTTTCTATATATTTAACAATAAAGAATGGAATGCAATAATAGTTTTTAATGCAATGTAATATTATGCTTATAATATCTAAAATTGAAATTGGGTAAATAGTATTACTTCATTTTATGTGCTATTGTTTATTTTTCAATAACATGTATTACATTATTGTATGTTTTAGTGTTCAGGACCATCAATGGAACCTACATTGTTTTCTAACAATATTCTTGTCACAGAACATATTAGTCCTAGATTCAAGAAAATAGAGAGAGGTGATATTGTTATCTCAAAATCTCCCAATAATCCCAAGCAGCATATTTGTAAAAGAGTAACTGGTGTTGAAGGGGACAAAATTAAAATTGGTTTTGTACAGCATATTGTAAGTAATGAATTAGAAAAGATATTATACTGTGCATTTCGCTTGAAGTTTAGACAATAAGGTTTAATTTTTCTGTTTAGATTCCTCGTGGATATATATGGCTTGAAGGAGATAATCATAACAATTCTTCTGATTCTCGATTATATGGACCAGTACCTTTAGGTCTAGTGCGAGGTCGTGCGGTATGTCGTGTGTGGCCAATCAATGAAGCAAAAATGTTAACAGACAAAGGCAAATGGGGTGTTGTGAGATAACAATAAGTAAGCAGTTATTTGGTGCTATTTTGTAATCAACTCTGTGAAGTCATAGTTATGTACAAATGTAGATATTAAGATGCTGCACGTTTTTAGTCCAAATTTAATTTAGTGTCAGCATAATGAGTAATGCAGTGAGAATGAAAATTTTAGATTCAATATTTCATGTGCTATTGACTTACATAAATTATATTTTTTTTAATGTGATTTTATGTACCCATTGTTCAGTGCTAAATGAAGAAGCGTGAATCTAATTTAACTTGGGGCTTTGAACAAGCCACACAACAAAATGTGCATGTATTTACCAAATCTGGAATAAATTGTATAATTTATTTCTCCTAGTATTTTATGTATGTGCGTTTTCTACATTGAAAATCATGTAGAAATTAAGTGTGAATGAGTGAGTGAATAATGAAGAAGAGTTAATTATGATTGAGAAATCTTTTTAAATTATCTTGGCAATGTAGAAAGCTTTTTTTCTGTTAATATTGCTGTGCATGTTGATTAGAAATGCTGTAAAGGAATATAAACTAAATAAATCGCTATCAAGAAGGTATTGACTTCAATTAGGAAACAGGTTTGAATTAATATCTCAGAAAATATTTGAATCGCGCGCTTATTTCACAGATGTTGCATCTGAGTTGGTCATTGAAATAGTATAAAGAAACACTTTTTTCTATTTAATTTTATTCGATAAAGTCAACAGTAATTAAATAAATAACATAAAAACGATGGTAAACAACCGCATATTCAGAGTAAATAATTGCAAAGATGTTCAGTTGACTAACGTATTCTAAAGGGCACATCGAGAAGGCAGTGGTATCCCCTCTCCTCGCCCGAGAGCGACAGCAGCACTCCAAACAGGCGTCGGAAAATCGAAGTGTTAGTGCACTTGCCGGGTGGGCGGTAGCGGTGGAGTAAAAGTATTGACTAGTGTTGTGTGAATATCAGTGAGTGTGTTTGTGTGATCAAATGTGTGTTTGGACAGATAAGATTTGCTAGTTGATCAGGATTCTGTGGAATAGGTAAGTTATTGGTCTTTTCACGAGTTAAGTTTTTGTTTGTATGGCAACATCAACTCGTTAAGCATGTATTGTGGGAGATTTTTATAGTGCCAAATGTGAATTTTATGTATGAATTCTGACTTAAAATTTAACTTTTTCGAGAAACCACAATTCAAATAATGCAAGACTGTGTACAATTTATAGTAGAGTAGTTTTGATATGTTACAAAGTAATTAAATGCTGTTTGGTAACAGTGGTTTATTTTGTTTGCAGAAGGACGGAACAGAAATATCGTTTATAAAATTTGCAACAATGCTGAGCAGTAGAACAAAACATTTTCTCCACTGCTGCCTGCTTTTCACCGTAATAGCTGTGTTTGAAATATTTTCTGGTGCTGTGCGTCTTGAAGATGATAGACCTGAAGAATTTGACCCATGGTTACGTTATGGGTACTTCACAACATACATGCTGTACCTGATTCGGCTACTTACGTTCCTTCCCCTACCCCAAGTCCTTTTCAATTTTGTTGGTCTTATTCTGTATAACGCTTTTCCAGACAATGTTCAGTTGAAAGGGTCACCCTTACTAGCTCCGTTTTTGTGCATTCGCATAGTCACAAGAGGTGATTATCCGCAGTTAGTGCGTAATAATGTTGCTCGTAATATGACAAAATGTACTGATGCGGGGCTGGAAAACTTTTTGATTGAAGTTGTGACAGATAAAGCTGTCGGTTTACCAGCTCACCGCAGAGTGAGGGAAGTAGTCGTACCTCCAACGTATAGGCCCAAAAGTGGTGCCCTGTTTAAGGCAAGAGCATTACAATATTGCCTCGAAGACGGTGTGAATATATTAGCAGACAGCGATTGGGTCGTTCATTTAGATGAAGAAACCCTACTCACAGAAAACTCTGTGAGGGGTATTTTGAATTTTGTGTTGGATGGCAAGCATCACTTCGGTCAAGGGCTCATCACCTATGCGAATGAAGACGTCGTGAATTGGGTGACCACGTTGGCTGACAGTTTTCGTGTGGCTGATGATATGGGGAAGTTACGAGTACAGTTCTACATGTTCCACAAGCCCCTCTTCAGCTGGAAAGGATCGTACGTCGTAACACAGGTAAGTTCTGCAGTGATTTTTCTTTTCTTTTTTTTTTTAGTTGGTAATTCTGCGTATTTCTGAGTGCATCGAACTATATGTTGCCCTCCTGTATGTATATTTAACATATTCGTTTTGTGATACTAGACTAATGAATTTTTGAAAATGTGCGGTACGAAAAAAGTTGAGCAGTGGTAGTGATAATACAGGTTGTTGAAAACGGGTCCAAGGTAAAACGGTTCCACACAAGTAAGATATTTCACTGCGCCCATCACAATCTGCCTTTGACAATGATTCAAGTATAATAAAAACATTTCAAAATACAAATGATGCCGGTCAAGTTGTTCTGTCGAACAGCGTGTAACGGCGAGCCTGTCTTGAATAATTGTTTCATTTTGGCGTGCGTTCAGAAATTTTGGCAAAGGAACAGAACCGTTGGAAACAAAAAACTATCTCGCTGGTCTGTGGGCCAAGGTGTTTCCGTCCCGAGCAGGAGAGATACAGAAATACTGCACTCGTTCTGGCACCCCCCCCCCTTCTGGGACGCGTGTACCCGGTAGCCGAGCCCAGTGTGATGTTCGTTTATATGAGACCGTGGCGCACAGCCCACGTGTCTGTGACGCGACAGTCGGCAGCAAGCGAAGCTTGCGCACACCGATGACCGAATTCTAGTGCTGAATGTACCATAATAACTGATTCTGTGTATGAATGCGGCTTGAAATTGTGGGCATTAATCCATTTGCGTCGGAGGAAGTCGCTATTTTTTTTGTTTTTGCCCGAACTAAAGAAAACAAACATAGTGAAATAAGTACAAAACATACGTTGTATATTGTGATAAAAGTTGTATGTATAAATCAAAGTTAATTTAAGCAAAACTTAATCATATCATTCAGTTCGTTTATTGCCGTGTGCTATTATTGTTTGTTTTTCATTTCACGCATAAAACTGTGAAAACTTCGAAGTATGAACTAAACTCATACTTGCAATTCGTTTACCGATGCAAATAGGTTTTCTCGGGACTCGGGAACGAAAATGTCAATTTTTTAAACAAATATTGTTAATATCACGTTTTTTAAAATGTATTTTTATTTATTTATTTTAAACGTTTACTAGTCTTTTAACAATTTATGGTTGAAATGACGGGAAGGGATTCAGGAACTAAAGAAAACGTGCGCAGATAATCTTCTCCCCCATACGTCACATACAGTTTTACTGTTTTTTCATTTCTTTTTTTCTCTCGACTAAATAAATCTAAATCTAAAACTGAACTATGGGATCGATAAAAGCTGCGTAGTTATTGCACAGGTAGTTTTGCTAAATATTTGGTACACTCCACAAATATCCAAAAGTTCAATTAGAGGGAATTTTGAAAATCACTCAGAACTCGCGTTATTTTAAGTACTTGCTCTGGAGAGGTTAGTGTAATGGCTATTAACAGCACATAAAGGCTTTTAAGTAAACTTACCGTGAGAAACACATTACAATATAATATTAAACGAACTTGGCAGTGGTTGCAAGACGGTATCTATCAACAAGTTCAATAGATGAAGGTGAACTCCAGGGAAAGATTTTTTTAAAAAAAAGAATAAGCAGTTTCCATTCACATAATTCCTCGAAGCCTCCGTGTTGAATTTTGTAATCTTAACATTGTCTTTCCTATTTATTCAGGACTTTACGTTAGTTTTGGTAAAACTGACTCGCAAAGATGCGAACATATTTTCTTGTAATACAAATGTTTATACACGTTGTAAGAAACACATTCATCAGGTGTCAGTATGAACAACTCACTACGATAAATTAACGTTACTTTAAAACACATTGCTTTAAAACACACATTAAATTATTAAAATCCATTCACTAATTTTAGTACCAAGTAAAATATTGTGCTGCATTACTGTTTCTGTACAATGTGATTGGGAAAGACCTTCTATTCTAAAGTTCTAATATATTTTAAATTATTTTCTGATTTTGTAGAACATGTTTGCTTCCACTTACTTGCTTACTTAATTTCATTGCCCGACTAATATCTCGTTTATTAAAGTTATAATTACTATTACAACTACTATTTTAATTACAGATTACAAAATTCAATTAAAATTAAAGTGATACCATTAACTTAACATTTGCAATTCAAAGCTACCGAAATTAATTATTAGTCATCCGCTTATCTAAGATTAAACTATTACCCAGTCTCAACAGAAATAATACTCGTACCGTCCCATTTGCTGCATCCTCACTTGTCGATGGCTGGCAAGAGTGTGATTATTTCAATTTTCTTACAGATCCATAACTTCCAATGCCATCTTTACATCTCCTGCATATAATATCCTCGAGGCCTTGCTCCCCAAACGAGTAGCGTTCTGTCATCAATGGAATATTTTCTCGCTTTGATCGGTTGTCCTATCCGCGTATTCTTTGGCTCTAAGCGTTTTGTATGCATCCTGTCGGATATATCTGCCGTTCTAAAAAGAGAGAGAAACGAAAAGAGGAAAAGGTAGAACAAAATCCCACTGCATCCTTTAGATAGGTAGTATATATATATATATAATATTATATATATATATATATATATATATATATATATATATATAATTACAAAAGAAAAAGCGTTATGCCTATTGAAAGCACTCCCTATTTGCAATTGGGGTTGAGTGTGGTGAATGCGTCATTTGTGATTGATGCCCCTTCTCGTCCTTGGAGGTGTGTTGCTATAGGCGAGAGCTCTGCGCACCAGCGACATTTTCATCGCCTTACCATGTTCACGGTGATGCCACTTGAGAGAGGAGTGGAATGGTGTGATGCAACATCGATGTTCAATATTAAAACAAGAGTTTTAATTAAACCTCAACCAAAAACCATCTATGTTTTTTAAACTGGTTTCGTAATTTCAAACATTCAATTTGTGCGTAAGAAAATGTAATTTGACAGTGCCCGTGTATATTAATTTATAATCAAAATTTAACTCTAAATGAACTTATAAAACGCCTCTCCATGCAAAAAATGTGAGAGACTATCCTGAGATGTGACTCGGGTATGCCAGATGAAAGCAGTACAAAATCGGTTATTTCATATTTTAGCATTCACAAAATGTGATTATGAAAATACTTTAACCATAAATTAAACATAAAAACGGGGGGAAAATCGAACACAAAACATCGATGTTTTGTTAAAGAAACATCTGATTGTATATCGGTGACAATATATCGAAGTTTTTTTTATAGAAACCTTAAGTTTTCAAAACATCGACATCGATGTTGCATAGTGTGACGCGTATCCGCTGGGCGAAGTCCGCAGCCGACTTGTCTGATGTGAGTTAACGGAGACTCACTCCCACGTGACAGTGACGCCAAGCGGTGAAGTGTCTCATGCGCGGTTCGTCATCTATCAGATGCGTTTCCCAAACTCTTTTGAGCGAGACTCTCTTTAAGAAGGGCTGTCAAACGAAGTACGTTGTGGGGATGCGACGTCGATGTCAATGTTTTAAACATTATATTAAAGCCGATGTTTTCTAACATTGATGTGTTATGCTCGGTGTTTTGAGAATGAAAAATTCCCATAATTTCAATTTCTTAAAAATTTGTTTATTTATTAGGGTTGTATTAACTTCAAGGACTGGAGGGACCACTTGATTATTACAAAAGATTCACAATATTTAAAGTAATCAAGTATTACGAAGTGGTGTAAAAACAATGTTACAAGTATTACGAAATTGTTTGTTGAACACTTCTCAAAGTGGGAAATGAATATGACGGAAAGGGAAATGCGAATGGAGGTCATTTCGAACGAGTGTGTTTCGTCGTTTTAGGCAGTCTAAAAAGCGTTCCTTTGGTTTCAACGGATGAACTAAGTGTTACCATCGGTTATATTTCATATTGCGACTTTTGCAGTATTGTGATGGGCATTTTTCTTTCAGAAACAAAACATGGGGGGGGGGACTGAAAACAAAACATCAATGTTAAAAAAATCAGCGTTACTTCATCGATGTTTAAAACACCGATGTTTCCACATAAACAAAACATCGACATCTTTTCAAAACATCGACATTGATGTCGCATCCCGAATCGGAAGTTTCTAATCTCCAAAAGAAACATTTTGGGGTAAATATTTGAAACGCAGACCTAATATTGTATTATAAATATAAACTACACTAGAGTAATTGTGGGGCATAATTCGAAAGCTCACATTAATCATAAAGTTCTGACGTTTTTTAGGAAGTATCAAGTAGTTTTTTATTGTTATTTGAGAATTAATTTTTTATCATGTAATTACCGCATATCGAATGATAATGGATTTAGTGCCTCTAAAATATCAATACATTATATCAATTTATTGATATTTTAACATATTCTTTTGCATTTTTTTACAACGAACAATTGTATATGTGCGACCAATAGTATTAAAGTAACACTATACGTAGAGAAGCACCACCATAATATCCAAGTTTTCAATGTCTTGGGGTAAAATATGTTGACATTTTTGATGTCCATTAGACCAGGGATTTTCAAACATTTTTGTCAATGGCTCCCCCTCGAGAAAACTTCTCGCGGCTCCCTGATAACTACGTTTCAACTATAAGGGTTAACATACGCCTACTAAAGATTCAACACAAGTAGACTTTTTATATCTCCATTTTAATTGGGTGTTATAATAAGTATCACGTTCTATCCAACTTTCAAAATTTGACAAATCCTACCATTTTTCTTCTATTTCTTTTTCGACGTTCAATTTGGATCGCAACTAAACACAGGTTGGATACAGCCCGTGCGGGCACGGAAACCCTTGATCTGTGTGGGTAGAAAGATTAAATATCCCCGACGCGCCCTAGAGATGTATGTCGATGCTAAAGGAGCCACAGAAGCTTATACGTTAATGACTTGCCAGGTTCAATTAATCCATAATTAGTAAAATAAATCAAATATTACAAATGACATGTACTGTGATTGTACACATTTATTTTGTGGACGTAAAAAGACTTAAGGATTCAAGAAAATAAAATCTCAAGATTATTTTTAATAAATCAT